CCTGCCCACAATAGCAAATGGATGCAAAATGAAGCTGGGTGTGTGCCGCCGGGCACGCTGCTCCTGTTCAAGGACCCACATTTTGCCAGCAGTTCAAAAGAAAAGGGTTTTCTCTCCTCTCCTAATAAAAGATGCTGCCACTCTGAAGCCCCTCTTTGAGCCCAGCTTGCCCACACCAAGTCCTCGGCTGTCCAGAAGAGGCTGCAGCCTTGACACAGCTCAGCAGCTTTGGCATCACTCACACTGCTTCACTGCCATCAGCTCTCTGCAGAGCACAGCATGGTCCCCAGCAGGGACAGGGGCTGTGGGACACGTGTGCTCCCAGCCAGAGTGGGCAAGGGCCTGGAAATGCAAAGGGTGAGCAGGACCAGAGAGAAACCCTGGAAATGGAAAGCCCAGGATGAGTTACAAGGGTGAGCCAAACACCCGTGTTCACTATCCCTTCTTTCTACCCAACACTTCCATGATGGAGTGCACAAGCAATTTGAGAGAGGAATTTCTGCTGGAGCCCATGCACCAATCCCATCCATTCCTGCACCATAATACATCACAGCTGAGATGAGGCACCAGCAATGGCCCTTGTGGAGCTCAGACTAGCACTGGACAACAAGATGCTGCCCTCTCATCCCATCACCACCACACCACGGGAAGGAGCCATGTGTTCAGCCAAGGTTGGCTCTGGCTGGAATCTGCTTCTGCAAGAACATTTGCTTAAACATGTAACAAGGTGGCTCCCTGCTTCCCCCAGTTCTGGAGGAATCTCTGCTCCTAAGGCCCCCAGCTCACCATCCCCAGTGTGGCTGCCACATCTCACACATGCAGGCTGCCTCTAAGGCCCCAGTGGTCAATCTGCTACCAGAGAGAGGATGCCATTCCCTCACCCTCGAGTATTTGTAATTCTCTTGATCAGGTTTCTGAAGACAGGCAATAGCCTTCCAAAGGAACCAGATGCACTTGATTTCTCCTCCCCATCCTCCTGGGCAGAAGGCAGCCCCAGCAGCTGCCACATCCCCGAGGCTCAGCATCTCGGAGGAGCAGTGATCAAAGCCATCCCTCTCCCATCGCGGGAGGCTCCGGATGTCAGCTCCATGACACCCCGCCTACCCATCCTGCCAGAGAGACTCCGTGCATTCATCAGGCATCTCCAGAGAGGCACACGGCAATCTGGAAGGCCCAGAGATGCCAGACCGCTAATGTGCTAGGGAAAAGACGTCAGCGAATATTACAAACACCCCAGAGGATCAGAGGCAGGACAAGGGAGGAAAGACCTGGAAGGAATTAGACAAAAAAAGAGGGCGAGAGTCTGCACTTGGGAAATTCATGGACTGGCACTGTCTTTTTTCTTATTTCAAAAAGGGTGATACTGCTGAAGCAGATTCAACTGCCCTAAGGACATGTGAAGAGGGTCTCGCATTCTTCCTCTCCTGTCCAATACTGCAGTATTAAGTGATGAGGGAAATCAAGATTGCAGGGCACAAGTCCTGCTTGTGCACTGCTCCTCTCAGATGGACAGAGCAGCCTGGACTAAACATCTGCAATCCATCCTCATCCTCACCCCAGCACCAGGCTGTCAGTCACACCAGGGACAGCTCCTGGGCACACAAAAGCACACGCAGGTCACAAACCACATTGCACCATTTCGGCAGTGAAAGGCTGAGCATTCCCACAGCCTGAAGCCCTTGGCTTTCCCAGCCTTCCCTATCCTCCAGCCCCTCCAAACACAGCAACAGAGCCCCTCTCAGCAGCAGATGCAGGGGAAGCAGAGCCAGTCCAGAGCTGCCTGACTCCCAGCACAGCGTGGCCATGCCAGCCAGCTCTAGCTGTGATGAAGCCAGAGCAGCATCTAGGTCAGGCTCAGAAGAAAACAAAAAGCAGACAAGCAGCCCTCAGCTAGGACTAGGGGATGCTGACACAGTAACCCTATCAAACCAGCTCAGCCCCAGTGCAGCCTGCCTCCCCTCCTGTGCCACAGGAGCTCCCTATGGAAAAACAAATACAGGGAGCAACTTTCAGATGGCTCCTGAGGTGCAGCACCTTAACCTGGCACCTGTCCACAGGCCTTTACACCTGTCAGCTGGCCCTGCCTCCAGCACCTGCACCCTCCTGTCTCCCTGAAACCACTGTTCACAGCTGGAGGTGTCTCCCTCTGGCACTGGTTACACATAAACACAGTAATGATCCTTTTCAGCTACACAGGCACCCCAGAGCCCTGCAAAGCCTCACTGCATAACAACAGTAGGGGTACAAAAGGATTTTCCAGGGACAGAATCTTCTCCATGAAAACCATCAGAAGAGTGTGACAGGCACAGTCTCACCAGACTGCCCTAGCTACAAATGTCACACATGAAGACTTCCACTGCAGGGGACCTGGAAAGGCATCAGCCCTCTGACTTATGAGATAACCAGCTCCTCAAGCTGTTCCTAACCCCAGCACTTATCACTGACTGACTCAGAGTGGAGTCAAACCCTGACTTAAATCAGTATTCAGTATTTATTAATAGAGCCATGCACAAAATCTGGCAGGTGGAAGAACCCAGGCCAGTAGGAGCATCATCACTCATCTGCCAGCATCACCACTGACAAAGCGGCTCTACCCACCTGCCTCCCACCAACCCTGCTCCCAGCAAAGCCCATCTTTCCTTCACTTTGTACTCCACAGACCTTCCTGGAAAAGCCTGCTGAACCTCTGTGTTTTTTCTGATCCCACCCCATGCTTCTTCCCCTGTTCAGGGACTGTGCTGCTGCCCCTGCCAGCAGCTCAGAGCCCCACTGCAGTCCACAGCTGCACCTTCAGAGGACACCACTGAGATGGCAAAGCCTGCAGAGATCAGGAGAGGCAGAGGCAGGCTGGGGGAGGGGAGATGAAGCATCCTGGAGGGCATCTCTGCCTCCTCCCAGGCACTGGGAGACTAAATCCCGAGCAGCTTGGCAAGGATGAGCTGCCTCTCGGCACAGCCGCACCTCACGCGGCCGGCGCTGGGTGCCCCCACCCTGGCACTGCCCACCCTCCCCGGGCAAGTGTGCGCCTCATTGTTGGTGCAAACAAAGGAGCGGTTTGTGCCTGATGAAAAGAAAGGGAGTCAGAGGCAAAATCATCCAGCAGCCCTGGATGGATGCAGATTAAGCTGCAGAAGGTTGCACGAACATAGCATTTTCCAGACATCAGTTAATCCCCTGGCTGTGCTCTGTCTCCATCTCCCTGGGAGAGGTGGGCTGTGTCTCACCTGCAGCCACAAAGGCAACCAGCACCCAGTGACAGACCTGACATCCCTGACCTGACATCTCCTGTGGGGCCAGGCAACCTACTGGGTGTGAAAAGCTTTCAGAAATGGGTTAGTGGTGGGCTCGGCAGGGCTGCACTAACCATTGGACATGAGAGGTCTTTTCCAAGCTAAATGATTCCATGATTCTATGTGCCCACCAGTACGCCCATGAGTACTGCTTTGGCAAGGATCTCAGTCTATTCTTATAGAGGAAAAATGAGGACACTGGGATTCCCACTAACTGTCTGAGGACCAAGCTATGGATGTCTGCTGGATGTCTGGCTACAGGGTAAGTGGAAGAGTGATGCACTTGCTGTTTGCCCTTCAGGTATGCATCCTCTGCTGCCCTGCCCCCATCACCTCCAAGGTGACCAAGGGGAGGTTTTTGCCCCGCTGCCCTCCCGGGTGTGCTCACTGAGGTGCCCTGTTTAGTCTCTGTGATGAACTCCAGGTCCCACACCAGCTGCTCAGAGCTCCTTCCAACAGGAGAGTGATGCCAGCAGGCCTTGGTTTGCCCTGGCTATTCCCTGGATCCCAGATTTCAGCAATCAGCCTCACTCCTGTTGCCCTGCAGATACTTTGAAAGACCTTGAGCTTCAGCAGGAGCAAAGGAGCTGGATTCCTGGTTTAGAAAGGTATCAATGGGCCATCCACGCACTGAAGGCTTTTCCCAACCATAATACCCAATAATGCCCAGCACCTGGCAAAAGTTCCTTCCTTCCCTGCCTAATGCAGACACTGATAATAGGTGTCACACTGATGCAGCTGGTTCAGCAGCCAGGACCAGACCCGTGGGCTCTCCCTGCCCGGCGCTGCAGCTGGCGACCTAGAGGACGCCAGTCAGAAACACA